ATTTAATTATTATTTTTCTTTTCATTGAATTTTTCTATTCTTGACATTTTCTACTGAAATCTTTGTGTATTATTGAGAAAAGGTCTAAATTAAATAGTAAAGTGGTATAAATAAATAATTATATGGTTAATTTGCTGTTGGGAATGTTCTACTAAAGGGTGCCCTAGGTAAACATATGTGGTGTTCTGTTCTTTTTATTTTGAAGAAGCAAATCTTCACTTTATGCCTTAATATAAGACACTAAAATACTTCTTGTGTTTTGAAAGCTAACTTTTTTCAATCATATCTTTTAAAGGAGCTTCCACCTTACCTTGGCAAACTGGATGTGACATTTCAAAGAGGTAATATTTATCATTTGTGGCTTAAACATTTATGATGAGAAGCACGTGTGTGTTCTCTTGTCACAGTAAGTTCTTGCTAAAAGTACTGGCTCTAAGCTTGTCCAAATCTGAAACCTTGATAGTCATCTGACCCTGACATGATCAGGTCCAAAGATTTAACTGGTTCATTCTATTTAAATTCATATGCAGTTAATTTAAACCTGCGTAGTAGTTACAAGAAACCCTGATATTATTAGGGATACATTGTACTTCTAAAGCTTCAAATTCTAGAATATTACTATAACTTACAGTAGTCACCCATCAAAAATATAATAATAAATCATAATAAATGGGAAGGAGGACTCCTTTCAGAACTTTTCTGGTTCAATCTATAACATTTATTCTTTCATTTAGCTGCTCCATATTTTAAATGATTGAAGAGACTTCTATCGGTCAAATAAACCATTTTCTAGTCCTCTCCTCTTAGCAATTTTCTTTCTTTAGAGGGAACATTTCTCACAAAGAAACATGTCCCTAGACCTAATTTATTAGTTACTGCATGTTAGAATGGAAATATATCACCTTGCAACACAGGTGCTAAGCAGGTATACGTCCCCTCATTATCACAAGTCATCCTCACATTTTGAATGATTCAAATATATATACCTTGGTATGGTTTGCATATAGTTGAAGTCTTGGATAAGTGTCAAGGATCTATTGATTTAACTGGGTGTCCCAGCTACTTGAGAGGCTGAGGCAGGAGGATCGCTTGAACCCAGGAGTTTGAGGTTGCTGTGAGCTACAATGACACCACTGCACTCCACCCAGGGCGACAGAGTAAGACTCTGTCTCAAGAAAAAAAAGAAAATGGAAATCGAAT